GCGAGAAGTTGATTGTACACATATATGTCAAACAAGCATTCATTCATACGAACCAATACGCTGGCTAGGCCCTGTGCACACACGGGTGATTTGATGTCTGTTGAGCGCCATTCGGGCCTGAAGGGACACGGTCCACGAATCCTGACCTGTCCTACTCGCGTGAAGAGCCAGGTCGTTTGGTACGATCAGCTGGCTGGTGGTGTTACCAAGTAAGCGATGCTTCAGTTTTGCAGTTTATTCATGAGTTGCTGGATCGCCGCCCCTCAGGTAGGTAGATTTTCATCTGACCCGTATATCCGTGCATTGGTGTCACATCAAAGCACAAATCACAATACGCGGGTATTTGTATAGTTCAGTGAAGTTTTATCATCAAAATGTCTAAGAATTACAACGATTGAGCTTGATCTTGTCTCACGTTAATATGTTGCATATCGCACTGACCTTCAGCAAACGAATTTTCTGACTTGCCAATTCGTATGCCGTAGCGTTCAGCCTGGCAATATGTTGAGGAAATCGCTCTTAGCCGTTTTCACTTGTCGAAGACAAATTAATTTTAGCAGGCGTCGCGTCGCAACCATCCTTATCAAGGGGCACGCGACAAATTCTGACGTTTTAGCATGCCGGTATGATAGGTTTGCCAATCCAAAAGCTATAAACCTTTCGAGTTTTTGTCGTCTCTCATCAATTCACTAAGCACACCGATGCGGAGTAGTAACCGACCACCGCGTGCTGTAGCGCGCTCTATCGCGGGCACCGAAATAATCAGGCCCCGGCGCATGTAAAACTATTCATTGGCCTGCTGACTGATGGCAGCAATCTGGGCCTGTTTATTCATGTATGCCTGCTTCTAGTGTCGGCTACCCGCATCACCGGGCCGTGGTATAGGTATGGGAGTAGGTACACCGGCAGGGTAAACATATGCGGGCACACGGGCGACGGATCAAACAGAACCTGCGCACTGCAACGGCTCTGAGAAACGAAACTGATGACTTCTGGAAGCATTCCAAAGTTTTCTAAAGTAAGTTATATTTCATGCTCAAAAAGTAGATGAAATCTAATTTTGATCCTTCCAAAACAAAGTAACTTCCTTCATTTATGCCCTTCATCCAGCTGGTGAGCGGGGAGCTATCGGAATCCGTAGCAATTCTCCAGCGCAGCTCAGAGTTCCGTCACCCCCCACTGGCGGACATGCGTGACAGACTGCCGGGCTGCAGTGGGCGGTCCAGGAAGTGGCAACAGCGTCACCACTCTGCATTGTATCCGGTCCGGCTGCAATGGCGGGGGCACGGGCCGCGAGGGAGCACGAGATGACTGTTAGGGACAGCGGCGGAGTACGGGCGGTGGAAAACGACTTGAGGGCCAGGTCACCGAGCAATAACGAATAATGTCAATTTCGAGAAGCACCAAATGTCTCCTCGTTATGTAAACAATGAGATAATGCGAAATCTTAACGTCAAAAATTTGTGTTGCGAAGGCGTAATTGCACAATCGCTTTGAGCTTCCGACATAAATACTGCAAATACCCGTATTGGAAAGTGGGGACATGCCTTCGACTATGACAGGCGATCATGAGACTACCGTACCTGACATTCCGACCCGTCATCACATCAATCTGTGTGCGCTCAACCGTGGCACATGTGCCTCATATCGTAAAACAAGTGCCTCAATTTGTCCTGATGAGATCCGGCCAAGTCCCGAGTGTCCGAGCTGGCTGGCACGGTCGGCACGATGCCCGGCGGGCCAGCGTCGTGCTTCATTGGGGCGCGATTTGGCAGCTCTAATCGTCTCGAAGGAGGATGTCACTGGTAAATCATGGCGGCTGGACACGGTAGGGCTCGCGGCACCCAGCAGCAATCCATCGCGACCTCCTGGGTGGTCTGTAATTGTATCACGCCGGCCCGTGGTCACCTAAAGATGATGTAGAAAACAAACGGCGACGTCCGGCGTGAAGCGAGATGGGCTCGTGATGTCCACCATCGCTCGCGGTCACTTTGCCATGTGAAGAGGTTATAAATAGCGGGACCAATTGAGAAACCTCGAAAGGGACAAATAATCATCCAGTTGGCTCTAAGAGTCACGTATGATCTGTAGTTTCCGTTATACCCTCCTTTCGGATATATTTTGCCCATCTCGTGACAGTGACGATATAACCCAAAGCATTCAGTGTCCGACTGACGCAGTGCCAATTTTGGGAACAAGAGTGAAATGTCTCGTGCATTTCAAAATGACCGAAAGGCATTCGTCCCGTTTGACAGACAATTTTCAAGGCTCCGTCCGATGATCATACGGTAAACATTCGGGAGCCATTCAGCGTTCTGCAAACAAATTCCTTATCCAAACGACCCCGTGAGAACCTTAGCGCGTTCTGGGTCAGACATTGTCGCTTCGACAAGTATGTGAGTACACGCCCTGGATATCTGAGCCGCGGTTCGTCTGTAAAAATACCAGCACGGCGATGAATCACGGCTCATCCTCTTCAGATTGTTGACTTTGGCGAGAGATGACCGATGAGGGAAAATCATATCAGCGTCGCACCGCGCCAGCGAACAAAGAACAACATTCCTGGGTAGAGCGCGTCCCGACCTGCGTCTTTTCGACACAGCGGCTGACCTGACCTCTCCTGACTTGGCCCAGCACCTAATCTCCTAGCTTTATCCATCAACCCCTTTCGACCTAAGCTGGTCCAATAGTCGCGTTTCATCAAAGACCCTGATGTTGTTGAGCGGAGATCTATAGCCATCTCATGTCCTGGGCCAGTCCATGAGCATTCACTATCTCGAAATGTGGCCAAATTCAGCCAGCTAAAGCTACACTAGCATCGTTTGTAATATCCTACAATTTCAAACAAATAACTTTCTAGGGGAAGAAACATTTATAGACGACACTGCAACGGTGCAAGTGTCATCTGCTTAACATGATACAATCATGGATTATTCATATACAATTTGTCTGACACGGTCCAACCGCTAATGAAAACTGTCGTGGACCGGCCGCCAGAGTACAGGGCGGGGTCAGGCGCCGTACCCGTCACCGATGGGCCTGCCGTAAATGTTGACATTCTGATATCCTCCTGACCACTGAGGCTCTCATTGTTGCACCGGTGGCGAGAGGCGGTAATGCATTTCAGGTCCTGTATCAGCTGATCATGCGCCGGGGTTCGAGGGCCATTTGTCGAACCCAGCGCGTCAGCGGTATTGTATGCGCCGAGTGAGTGCCGGGCTCGGTTTCTCGACTGTCTCAGCTCGGAGTATCATGGTTTTAAGTACCGCTCCATTGGAACTGCCCGGAGCCGTTTCGCCACAATGACAACGAATCGTCAAAACCCACGCTGCATTTCAGCCCTCAGACCTCCTCCGCCTTTTCCTCTTACTCTCTCGGCACCTTTTCAACATCTTCTTAGCACCTTCTTAGCACCTCGGTAAATACCGCCCACATTCCCACTCATGGAACTGTCACTCTCGGCGTCGCCTCGGTCAAAGTCTCGGCGATGGTTTTATCGCCCAACTATCTGCCGGTCACAGACAGTCGAAAAACGCCTCTGCACGTGTCCACTGAGGACCGCTAGTTACGCAATACACATATCTGTGACAATGTGACGGTGTGACCATGTGATGTCACCTTATGTAACGGTGACATGTGACGAGTGGTGACATGTGATGATCGGTGACATGAGACAAGTGGTGACCGAAAATTGAGGTGCATCCGATGTCTTTCAGCCAGAAGCAATTTAGGACTGACTGCGGTATGCTTGAGATGAAAACTGTCCCCATTTTCAGGTGACCTTGCAAGAAGTAGTTCACTGGGTTGTTGATGTCACTCTACTAGAAAAAAGTTTTTTGGTCATTTGCTATTAAAAAGCTATTTGAGCTTCTAACCAATCTAAAAAAAAATGTTAAACGCTTCTCTCAATAATTCAATAATCAAAGCAAGTAGATAATTTTTGCATTGCCATTGGCACGAAAAAGATCTCAGGAATTGATATGAATCATAATGCTAGAAATAACTGGTATCGTTTCCATTTTATCCAATTTATTGGCGGACTATCGTGGTGAAGGCACGGTGCCAAGCCAAACAGGGGCGGGGAGGGAAGACGGCGCCGGCCGCCCGCTGCGCCAGTCCGGCAGAGCGGCGTACGTGGGACCACCGTCACAGGCACACAGACTCTTCTGGGTCGACCTCCTACCATCTGCCACCACCGAGGGACTATCGGTGGGCAGAAACGAACAGAACAGAGGAGAGTGCCGTAACTCTAGCCACTGCCGACCAAATTGGCTGCTTGCTTGCCGTTAGTCACCGCTGGAGCGGGGACGGCCAATCGATGTGAAACGCAAGCGGCTACTGACGACACTGCAGGCAATTTCCTGTCTGCACGGCAAAAGATCAATAGGAAGTGCATGGGCTAGTAGCCTCATTTTCTATACATTGAGCGCACTGAAAGCAATATCTTTACGCCAGCTCCGAACAGTGAACAGCAAACAGTTGTTCTGAAAATACAAGCCGAGTGCTAGATATAAATTTAAATGCCTGTGGAATGTAAAACCACACAAACCCCAAAGCATCTGACCACAGGAAATAAGTTTCTAAAATAGCTACCGTATCTAAAAGTTGGCACAGTATTGGCTCAAACTAATTGATGATGATGTTTCAAACATGTGAGCCAGTCCAAAAATTTGACAGATAAGCAGAATATACGACATTTTTAGCCAAAGGCTTTCGTTGGTTGAGATATCGGAAATCAATGCCTATTTTATTGCATTTATAAGACTGAATAAAATCGTCAAAAATAACGAAATTTAAGCCTTGGGACATCAAAACGCATTGGAATGCGTATCGCAGTCACACGCTTGCGTCTACTTAGATATTTTCCGTTTCCCATGAATCACTAACATCAAAACGTTGTCGTAAACAATGACACCAGCTGCAGTAAATAATGCAGTTTTTGTTGTCAGTCCGATCTACATTGTCTCGTTTGCCACGACGTCAGTCTCCCGGTTCCTTACCTGCCGAGTTCCTCGAATATGTCATAGTAGTGTTCAAACGGCTCCGTCCTAAACTCGCGCCGGCTGCCATTCGAGTCCATGGTCGCTCACGTGCCTACAACACCCTCACATCCAGCTTGACGGCGGTCGTGACGCACTGGATTCACTCCCGGCGCACCTCGCGCACTGCCACACTGCACCGGCGAGCGCGGCGCCTCGACTGAGGGTCGACCGCGCGGCGACCCGCGCCGCCGCCGGCGGCAGCACCGGTTTTTACCCGGCACACCGCGCCGCCGGCCCCACCGTGCGGCGGTGTGGGGACGGCCGGCACGGCGGCGCCGACGGCCGACGACCGGCCCACCGACGGGGGTCAGTCCGACACCGACACAGGCAATGACACTGGCACTGTTTGTCGACGAATAGAGACGTCGGTTCTGATATAATTCCGTCCGACCCTGACACTGAATCTCTAGCCATGTCTCTTGAAGTGACAAAGACACGCTTCTATATGCGACAATGACGTCACAATTATCTCTGATAAAGTCTACTCATGCAGTCACCGTTACCCATTCAACAGCAGTTACAGAGTGTCAACAATGTCATGGCACTGCTGACGACACTCTGACGCTTCAGATGAGTACTTGAAAGTTGAACTTCGAGGTCACAGGTCGGGTCAAGGTCAGGTCAAACACCCAAAATCGGGTTTAAAGAAGCATAGACTTTAGAACCTCGTACTGGGCGTCTCCCGTCATAAACTCTGTCAACACTGTGCACATGCTATACGAGTTGCAGATCCATGTAGGAGTCAGTCAAGCATAGGTCAGGGGTTGGGTCAGGTCAATCAGGTCAATCACATATCCCCGAAAAACAAAACTGTTTCGTCACTATAAACTTCAATCAATTACGAACAGCTCCCCAAAATTGGCCGCGCCTGCGGCAAATTTTGCCGTTTTTAAGCTACGGTGCAGCGAAAAAGTGGAAGCTAGTTTATAGTTTATACTGCCCCCGTCGTGCCTGAATCCGCCTATGCTTAACGAAAACGTGTATATTGTGCTCACGTTGCATATTTTACATTGTATAGGTGTTCTACTGTTATCTATGTATAGGTATACGACACATCATGTCATAAGACACATGACATACCATGACAATAACTCAAAACATCATCCCAAGTTAGTTTACCTGCATTCGCCTATGATTTTTGAAATATCCAAAATACCGGAATATACCGGGTGGCCCAGAAAAAATGTTCCCAACTTTAAATCAACATTTCTCAGAAAGTGATAAAGACACAACATTGAAACTTCCAATAGTCAATGCGGCATATATTTTCAGTAAACTGTATTATTTTTATGCTATTCCGGCAATTACTTTTTAAATGGTTCGTGTTTCTAGCATGCCATGTAAAAATTACTTTTTTGCTTAGATGTTTACTAAAAAAAATGTGAGTGAACGGGCCACTTCCAGCTCGGTATCACGGCCTGCAGCCATGACTGCTACTGGCTAGCCTCACTGATGGTTCAGGCCTTAGAGTGGCACATTCCCTCTAGCCCTTTTTCGGTCGATTTACTGTTTGATCTTCTTGAAGGGAGGGCAATCAGCAGTAACCCATGCACCGCGCCACTCATGCTCGAAACAGGACTCAGTGTTGAAACGAATAGCATCCATTAACACCATTTTGGCTCAGTATTTGAATATTCGGCACATAAGTGGAACAAAAATATTTAAAATAACAACACAAGTGCTGATTTCATTCACGTGTTCCATTTTTACATTTTTTTCCTAACATGGTACGTCTAAGCCAAGCATCACTACCGTCCAACATCGGCAAAAAAAGCAAAAACGTCTTACTTAATTCAACATAAGATTGCTGGCTTGAAAATGATGATGGAGTGTTATAACTTGGCATATCAATGCGCAAAGAAGTAACGCAAAATTGATGAGAATTTTGGCTCGTTATTAGCACTTAAATTTGAGATATAGGCCTCTAAAGTTCGGAACATTTTTTTGGGCCACCCGGTATATGTGATGGCCCCGTTCATGAAGAAGGGTCCCTTGAAGTTTCATCAAAATCGGTAAAAAAAAGAAGTTATAGCATTTTTAGTGATGAGGTGTATAACGCGATTTTTCGAAAAATTTTGCTTCCACATGGTTTCCAATTTTGAACTTTCTTTGACTTTTTAGAATCAATCTGAAAGTTCACGATGAAAGCAGTCGAATTGCGTTTGTCCCATTAAGATCGGACATTTAGTTTTGGAGATATCAAGGGGGGCCGAATCGGCCCCCCTCCACCAGTTAAGTCCAGAGAGCAGACCAGTAATATATTACTTGACCTTAACCCTATAGGGTTAAGGTCAAGCCACCAGATCACTTCGAATGACTCGACCTCAAATCACTTTTTTGCAAATTTGTCAACGTGTCAGAGCTATAGTAGATGGCGGAGTCCCTTGAAATTTGCCGGATGTGATGAGGTCATTGTAAAAAAGCTTAGCATTTGGGGTACTAACGGCTGCTATTCGTAGCACCTTTTAGCGTCAAAGGAACCCTATGTAGCTACAATATGTATGTCTCGGAATTTTGATATCGATGACCTAAGGTCAGGTCAATTTTTTAGCCTCCCATTATAAGTCAATGGGGGAAAATCAGCTGCCTGATTTTTTACACTACTCGTAAAACGCGTCGGAATGGCCTAATATGCCATGAATGATTTCATATGCGATCAAACTTGACTACCTCGAGGCGTTTTTGCTCTTGGGCGGCTGTAAGGTCATGTGACGTATAATAAAAGTTCACCAAAGTATTTTTTTGTTGCTTATAACTCCTTACAGGAACCAGATACAACCGCTCGGATGATCTTATTGTGTTCAGCTCGTCAAGGCGCATGAAATGATATACATGCTGACCTTGAGGTCACATGACCTGAGGAGTGAGGTCAACCCTTGTCCTTGACCTTCCGAAGTCAGCAATTCATGTTTCGAAGCGGATTGACGAGAGGGTTACGATGGTGCTATTACAGTAGTTTGTTCCTAGCTTTGCTACTTCGAAAGTTGTTCGGGAAAAACTGCATGTCTGCATGCCTAGCGCCGCTATTTTAACCTTTTTAACCCCTGTGACGTCATCTTTGACCTGACTTGAAATTGACCTCATTAAAAATTGTAGACCTCGTCCGTGTGTACCCCAGCCATTTACCGCTTGTCGCTATCTTGCTTCGTTCTCGATATCTGTGGGGGGGGGGCGGTTACCCCCACCCCCCACCCCCACCCCGTCGGAAATAAGTTGGCGGCGGCGCGGACCCCCGTCGGTGCGCGGGTTCAAGGTTTGGCTGCCTCTGGCTTAGTCATCATGCGAACAAATCTGTTATTCTGATTATTTTCAACATTATTCAACGCCACCTGCAGCGAGGAGCTCGGCATGGATGTGGCAACAGACGGTACCAAATACTACTACTACACTGCCACCTACAGGGCAGGCCTGGAACCTGTGCTTGTTGTGTCTGTCGCTATAGCCGAATGGCAGCGGAGGTCGGCTGCTGAGTGCTGACCTCCGCTGGATTTTAGGACTAAAGTACGTATCGCTAAAGTACGTAGGACAAAAGTACGTATGCAAATGTTCGTACGCAAATATACGTAGGCGATAAAGTTCGTATGCCAAAAGTACGTACGCAAATGTTCGTACGCAAAAGTACGCGTGCAAAAGTACGTAGTGCATAAAAAGTACATATGTCAAAAGTACGTACGCAAATGTTCGTACGCAAAAGTACGGATGAAAAAGTACGTAGTGTATAAAGTACGTATGCCAAAAGTACGTACGCAAATGTTCGTACGCAAAAGTACGCATGCAAAAGTACGTAGTGTAAAATGTACGTATGCCAAAAGTACGTACGCAAATGTTCGTACGCAAAAGTTCGTATGCAAAAGTACGTAGTGTATAAAGTACGTATGCCAAAAGTACGTACGCAAATGTTCGTACGCAAAAGTACGTATGCAAAAGTACGTAGCGTATTAAGTACGTATGCTAAAAGTACGTACGCAAATGTTCGTATGCAAAAGTTCGTATGCAAAAGTACGTAGTGTAAAAAGTACGTATGCCAAAAGTACGTACGGTTCTTATGCCAAAGTACGTAGGTAGTGTATAAAGTACGTATGCTAAAAGTAGGGTATAATAGTGTAAGTTGAGCCACTTTTTCTTTATTGCTGCTCTGTTGCCATACTAACAGAAACTCATGATAAATTCATATACCAAATAATATTATGTCCATTTTGCCCATTTACTCATCGAGAAATTTTGCTATGCGTTGTAACAAATGCTCATTAAATAAAGAATAAGAAAGGTATTACACATTGATCAACTTAACCCAAGGGTGGGGTACGTACTTAATACCCTACGTGCATTTGCTATGCGTACTTTTGTCCGTGACGTACTTTTGTCCATACGTAGGGTAGACAGGGGCAAGTCGCCCCGCCGAGGTAAAACGCCTCACCGATGTTTCTCGGAACTGGCAGGGTTCTGGGGAAAGATCCTCTCTTCTGTTAAATGTGCACTATATGATCATTATATGGGCAGACTGGAAAGAAATTGTGATAATTCTCTAGGGAGATATAGCCAAAAATGTGTTTGTTGATTGATTTTTATGTTTGGTTGTCTGATTATACATCATCGCGTTCTTTTGTGGTCCACATCAGGTTAACAACTTTTATGTATTTTGAACCACTGTTGTCTAATGCTTATGATGCCGGGTTGGTTGGTGTTAAATTATGTCTTGCTGGAGCGCAAGGCGTTGTTCGCTGACCGAACTACGTGATGGGGTAAAACGCCTCAGTAGGTCGCGGGGCAAAAAGCCCCATGGGGCGTTTTACCTCATGTGTTGTTCGGACTACCCACTTCCTAATGTTCGGTAGCTGGCGAACAACAAGTTTCTATACATTTATATGTATTTTTCTCAGCAACTGTATGGCAAGGGAAGTATATTGTTAACTGATTTGCATTGCATTAATTTATTATTTGGCCTTATGAGGCAGGTGAAAAACCTGGTCATACAATAGTGTCATAGCTGAACACTTGATAGGATGGAAGGTGTTACCTTCAGTGCCGTGCCTCCAGCGGTCTAACATATAAGAACAGCGGTCTCATATAAGACTTAGCCAACTACCATGTTCAATCTTTAATCTAGTGTATGGGGCTTCTTGCCTCAGGCCGTGGGGCGTTTTGCCCTGGGGTTGAGGCAAAATGCCCCATTTGCAGTTGCTTCACAAATCACTTCCTAGCTGGGAGTCCGATCATAAGTGAATGAATTTGAGGGGTGGAATTTAAAATAAAA